CGCATTTGGTAGACCTGCCGAGCAACCTTGAGGTGTGGACAGATGCGAAAGCGGAAAAGTTCGTATGGGAGGGGAAGAAGGTCGTTGGCGTTGTCACGGAAGACGGACGAGAAGGTACAGCCTTGGACTAAGATTAATCAGAGAAATTACAAGCACTGACAAGATACCAGCAATGGCAAACAACGAAGTCATCCTTTGCGGCGGCTCGATCGACACGCCAAAGCTCCTCCTTTTAAACGGCATCGGACCGCAATCCGAGCTTGAGGCAGTTGGTATCGACGTCAAGATCGACTTGCCTGGGGTCGGGAAGCACCTTAAAGATCACGTCCTCACCTTCATGACAGTCGAAGTCTCGGGCTCAATCAACTCCAAATACGCCTTTGACAATAACCCCGCCCTTGTCGCTGAAGCTCAAGAATCCTGGACCAAAGACCAAACTGGCGCTTTCGCCCTCCAGAATTCCTCGCTTTGGGGCGGCTTCCTCAAACTAACGGATTTGGAATCGTACGAGGAGTATTCGGCGCTTCCACTCGATGTCCAGGAATTTCTGTCCAGAGATCAAGTTCCGACATACGAGTTCATCAACAACTCCATACTCTGGCCACCAGGCACACAGCTCGAGGAAGGGAACACATATATGACTTTCCTTGCTTTCCTCATGAACCCTCAGTCCAGCGGTTCCGTCACACTCCGGTCAGCAAATGCGTCTGAGAAACCAGTCATTGCGCTAAATTTCCTCACGCACCCCTTCGACGTCCGTGTTTTTCGCGAAGCTATCCGCAACACGTGGCAGAAAATAACCGGAAATCCTGTCGTTGCTCCGCATATTGTGCGTACCATTCTTGGGCCAAAGTCCATGGGTGATGCGGATTTGGATGATTTTGCAAAGGCGAATGCCAGTACAGTTTGGCATGCTTGCGGTACTTGTAAGATGGGAAGGGACGACGATGCAGAAGCGGTTGTGAGCAAGGAGTTCAAGGTTAGGGGAGCGGAGGGGTTGAGGGTTGTGGATATGAGCGTTGCACCTCTTACAACCAATAATCACACGCAGGCTACGGCGTATCTCATTGCGCAAAAAGCGGCGGAGAAGATGGTTGTGGAGTATGGACTCGATAGGGTGAGCTGAAGAGTCACACGTTTGTGTGGTGGGTATGGTGGAAGCACGCTTTACTGTCCTAAGAGCGAGACGTGAGTCAATATGAAATGTGAAACTATGCGGAGAAAGTCTTGACAACAGAGACTTGACCTTCCTTTTCGGTGACGTTGACAGCTTGGTGCGTACTTGTCATCGACTTACGGTGTAGTGGTTGGCATGTGCAAAACGGAAGGGCCAGTTGCCAGCACAGCAGGCGGCCCACAACATCACACGAGCCCTGCAGGTACACGGCGGAAGATATTTATAGCCGGCCGGAAATCTGGAGTCTGGATCTTGACAACGAGCAGGACAAGTCAACGGTTTTTCGGAGGCAGCGGAAAGAAGTATAGCGAGACCAAGAAGCTATGCGCGACTAAGGCAAACCACTGCACCAGCTTGCAGGCTGCATGCGCAGAACCACGGGACTCCGCGAGGCAGAGTGCTTGAGGAACTACTGCCCGAAGCCAAGACAGGAATCTGGCTTTGACCAACACGGGCCGGGCACATCCTTCTGGGGGAAATTGCTATGACGGATGGTGGTATTGAACGTGCGCTGAGACGAAGAGGGTGCCTAGGTGATGCCGCGACGGTCGTTGCTGGGTGAACCGGAGGCGGAGCGAGCGCTCAGCGTCACTGTAAACGACAACCCCCTCTGATAGAGTCGTGAGGCAGCACACATCTTCTCACGGAACGCGAACTCACTTGATTGACATCACGAAAACGACACGACGTACTGTTCCCACTACTGGACTCTAGCCAAGTTTCAAAAATCCCGCAAGCGCATAACCCCGGTGTTGCTGGAGTTGGTGAGGAAAGGTCCCCCAACCACCCCCAACCTCTCCCGCGGTTTCCAACCACACGATTATTCCAAGTGTACCCTTTTCTTTGCGCACCTCCTCCTGCACGATTACACACATCCTACCACCCTTTCTTCTCTCCATAATTCAAGTTCAAAATAATAGCTGACTTTTTGTGGTTCCAAACTTGCACCACCAGCGGAACCAGTCACCCACGCCAGCAGACACACGAAAGACACGCTAGCCAACGGATCGACCCCGCAGCACCAATATCCACCCATTCACCGCTCCCACGCCGACTGCGCGATATCTACGAATTGCAGAGCGCTTCTTCTTTCGCTTCTCCCCCCGTTTCCTGCAAACGGTCCTATCTATTCCAATCGCAGTAACCTCGTTCTTACTGCGTTTGGTCCTTCAATCGCTCATCTCTAACCATGTGGCTTTTCAATGCTCCCCCAGCCGTACTCGGCCTGGTCGCATTGGCACACCTGCCTTCAGCTCTCGCAAAGCCATACCCCGTCCACATTGAAGAGTTCCAAGAACTGCACAACGCGTCGCAGATTGTCAAGAAGGCCGACTGCGACAACCCTTGTGGTTACGGAGGCTGGCTATGCTGTCCCTCGGGTTCAACTTGCTACACCGACGCAAGTAACCAGGCGCAATGCGGCTCTGGTGGAGCGACCACAGAAGCAGCAGGCGGCTACTGGCAATACCACACCACAACATACGTCGAGACAGTCGGTCTCCTCACAAAGACCGAAGTCTACAGCACATATGTCCCTGCCGTCGCAACGCAGACATGTAGCCAGTCGCAAAACCCCTGCGGTTCTACTTGCTGCGACTCAGGCTTCTACTGTCTGTCTTCCAGCGCCGGCACTTGCGCGCTGATCGCTGGTGGCAGCTCCGGAGGTATATCACCATCTGCTCCTTTGCGACCAACTAGCTCAGGCGTAGTAGTCATCACCTATACCGGGACCCCCACCGCGACTGTTCCCTTCCAGACACCCATCCCCACCGGCGCAGCAGGCGGCGGCCTCGTCCCAACTGAAGAGAGCAACAGCGGCCTCAGCGGCGGTGCCATCGCTGGTATCGTTATCGGTGTTATCTTGGGCATATTGCTACTCCTCCTTCTCTGCCTCTTCTGCTGCGCTCGCGCTCTCTTCGACACTCTTCTTGCCATCTTCGGCATCGGCAAGAAGCGCAAGCACACGCACGAAGAAACCTACATCGAAGAGCACCACCACAGCGGTGGCGCTGCTGCCGGAGGTCGCTGGTACGGAGCCGGTCGTCCTTCTCGCCCATCGCGCGCTGGTTCTGAGAAGCACAGTGGTGCGAAGAAGGGTCTGGGCCTTGCGGCTGGACTTGGTGGTCTCGCGCTCGCTTTGGGCCTGAAGAGGAGACATGATGCCAAGGTTGACGATAAGAGTACCACTGTCAGTGGAACATCATACATGTACAGTGATTACACAAGTTCGAGTAAGTAAATCCACGGCCTTGGGACTACCAGCAGTTTACTAACAATCATACAGGCAGCGCAAGTTCATCAGACCGCCACACACGCCGAACACGCCACTCATCGAGAAGATGAACGTCCCACCAAACGGAATCTCTCTAGCAACTTTTCAAAACTGTATAAAGTCTTTTTTGCTTTCTCCTTGTGTCTAGCTCCGTGCTGATACCTTATGGCATGGGTGGGTTTTATTGTGGGTACACGGGGCTTCGACAATGTTGACCCTGTTGGCGTTACTTGGGCGTTTTCAGCGGAGTTCGCTCACGACTGCAAAGCGACGACTGTGTTATGTTTTGGTTTACTTTTCTTACTCTCTCGACGTATGCGATTAATGAGGAAATGCGTATGCGAGGATATGAGACATGGGATGGAAGAAAGATGTATATGAAAGCAATGGAATGGAAATGGAATCAAAGACGACTGTGAACTCAAGGCTTGGTCTATAAAACTCTATTGAACTGCATACTTGTGTGTATTACTGCGTTCCGCTCGCCGGGTCCGATGGCAGAGGAGGCATCGTTCCCCTTTGACTTTCGTCGTAACCGGCCCACGGAAAGGGTTGTAACTCATTCCATGGAACCTTGTACAGAAATATTCCCATCGTAGACGATGGAAGGTGAACGGGACGGGGTGGATCAGGCGTTTAAGCGAATTTGCACGGCGGAAGTGATCGCAAGTCGTTTAACACCAAGTCGAATCTTATATCCACAGAATGTGGTGAGAGTACCGTGTTCCCTACGGTATGGAGTCTGACGCTGACCGTATCTGTGGACAGGAGATGGCAGAAGTAGAAATGCAAATTGATGGTTGGTTGCGGACCCAACAACAAAGGATTCTTGATCCAACTCTCGATCAGGACTTGCGCGATAGTCCCACCTACCACCATTGCACATTGCTGATAAAGAATGCTCGTCGGTGGTTTGCACGATGCTTGTAGAGCCCAATGCGCGTTTGATAGAAATCCTAGATGTTCTAGATCATACGATCCGTACTCGTACTTGAGTGTAGCATACTCATATCGTAATCTTGCGTGGACGTATGCATAATTGGTCTGGCTCACAAGCGGTCCAGAAGGTGGATATACGATAGCTAGTCGAGGTGTAGTGGGAGGACCTTCGGTGTTCTGGCAAGGCGTCGTGGGAGAGTTGTTGCTATCCATGTCAACGTCATGAGCATTCGCAGGAGAAGACATTGGATCTATGCCTGGTGGCTCAGCCTCGGAAATTGTCGAGTAGCTGACAGCCGAAGGGGTTGCTGCTCTTCATTAACACCTCTCAATTGACACACGCGTCCAAGTAACTGACATCCAGTAGGGCTTGGAGCATATATCATGCTTTCACGAAGTTCGTGTTTTCTCATCCATCTCTCAATCTTCTGGGGTTCGACTTCTCGACCTCTTACACGGAATTTGAGACTACCCTTACCTGTGTCGATAAGGTTCCTCTGTTGGCGATGTCTTACGATGGCCTTCATTTCTTCTGGTTTGATGTTCTTGTCGAGCTTCCATTGGGTCAGACGAGATCTGTATTGGCGAATCCTGTGCTGCTTGTCAGCTCGATTACGACAGAACAGCATGGTGCTCAATATACTCAGCAGTGAAGCCGAACTCTTGTTCCACTGTGGTCCTGACTTCTGTAAGGGGTCGCTTCTCCGTGAGGTGTAGCTGTATAATCCTGTCTTTGTATGGCTCCCAGTCACTTTCGCGAAGTGTCGGCGCCTTCTTCTTTCGTGCCCGAGTATCTGGAATGGCGTTTGAGGACGCAGGTGGGGGTTGCAACGCCGTAGCGTTGTCAGCAATTGAAACCAAAGACAGGTCGAAATTCATGTCTAGTAGGCCTTCGAGGAGCTGTAAGGGTATGTGTATCGTCCGAATGATATGATCAAATGACAAGAATTGAAGCTGAAGAGTTCTTGTCTAATTTCCTTTGGTATGCAAAGACAAGAAAGGCATCGTCACTCTCAATATTGGAAGTTTGAAGGTGGACTCTCAGGGTGGTTTATATGCAAGTTAGGTTATGCCACGAGGCTGGACCACGTCTGAATATCATTAGCCAGCGGACAGAAGTACAATTCATGCGAGACACCCTGGTCGCCTAATTGCATACCAAAAACGCCACCGTGCACGTTGAAGTCACAACCGGTGTAACGCTGAGCCAATCAAACAAGCGTCAGCAGAAGTACAATTTCGAACATCCAATACCCCCATAATGATACAGACCAAAGTACAACACAGCCATGCGTCCAGGCATTGACGTCTTGACTTGGTGTTGGCCCCGGAACAGTATAGCTTTGCAGAAACCTTGACAATTGAGCATGCAAAAGTACATTGTCGAAAGACATAGCAGCGCAATGATTCCTCTTCCTGTTTCTTGAGGTATATCGACGAGCTTCGTTACTCAATATTAGGTTTCCGGCTAGCCATACGTGTTAATGTCTTTCGACGCCCAGTCCACAGAATTTATCGCAGCCATTGTATTCGGCCTGCTTCAACTTGCCGTTGCCCTAGTGTCTTTTTGGCAGCAGCGGCAACTACGCCTAGCATACCGTGAGTGGGGCGACGAGTTATGCAAACACCACATGGATTGACAAGCTTGTAGAGCAAGGAAGCGACCGGAGGAGATATACAATCTGAGATGCGACGGATGCAGAAGTGTAAGTACTGCTACACCTCGGTCAGGAAAGTATGAAGCAGAGCTGACTCAAACAAGCCTGAGAGCGCGAATCAAGTGTCAATTCGAACTGGGTCAAGGAAGAGCGAATCTCTGCAATCTTTCAGGTGATTTGACGAAGCATGAATCCCTTTACATGGAGCTGTGCGTGGTGGTTGGAGTCGTGGTTGCTTGACAGATGCGTAGATGTGGTACAGTGGCAATATCGGATGCATTTCACAGGCCAGTCTGGGATAACAAGAAAGTTTGCAGGATCTGTGAATGAGAGTACGCAGTTGTGTCGCAAAGCCTAGAGCAGGCACCAGTGGTGATGTTGTGGATTCGAGGGTTGGCTGGAAGCGCAAACTCCAGGCGGAAGTGACGACTGCGCCAAGATTAAAGTGGGATGGCGCTAGGGTGGAGCTCCAGCACCTTCGCTGTGACAAGTACTCACGTAATAACCTCCTGCCCTGCTGCGCCTTCAGCCTTTGCCTTCCTTACATTTACACCCTCTATACTCAACCAAGCCAGCGACGAACTTGTTGACCTTGTTTGTCCATCTTCACAACTCTAAACAGCAGCACTACCCCGCGACTCGAATCCAGGCGCCCGCGACCGCCACACCTGACAGCGTCTAGGCTTCACGACAGTCGGCAAACTGGGGAAGCGGAAAGCCGTTGGCGAGGACATTCGTCCCAGCAAGAAAGAGAAAGCCATGACAGTAAGTTGGCCCGGCGATTAGTAAGGAGTGCTTTGTTAGGTTGCGCCTCCGCATCTGCAACTCATGTACTCGACATCTCCTACACTCTCTGCACTGCAGTACCTTTTGCACTATCTGGTCTCCATCTAATGTATCCAAGGAAAACATGCAAGTCGACAGCCCTGCCACCGCCGTCGAACAACTCAAGGAAGCCTCTGGTAGCAACGGTGACATCGATGAGTCCCTCTACAGCAGACAGCTGTACGTGCTGGGCCATGAGGCCATGAAGCGCATGGGCTCTTCCAATGTCCTCGTTGCTGGTCTACGAGGTCTCGGTGTCGAGATTGCGAAGAACATCGCCTTAGCCGGTGTTAAGTCGCTGACACTCTACGACCCCAAGCCCGCCGCTCTCGCCGATCTATCGTCGCAGTTCTTCCTTACTCCCGCCGATGTGGGGAAGCCGCGCGCCTCCGTCACCGTGCCTCGCGTCTCCGAGCTCAACCCATACACACCTGTGCAGGAATTCAGTGGAAAGGATCTGACGTCAGACCTGTCGCAGTTGAAGCAGTTCCAGGTCATTGTCCTCACCGACACGCTGCTCGATGACCAAATCAAGATTGCAGACTACTGCCACGACAACGGTATCTACGTTGTCATTACTGACACATACGGTCTGTTCGGCACCATCTTCACTGACTTTGGCAAGAACTTCACCATCGGCGACCCCACCGGCGAGAACGTCAACAACGGCATCATCGCCGGCATTGATGAGGAGGGTATCGTGTCAGCATTAGACGAGACAAGACACGGCCTCGAAGATGGCGACTGGGTCACATTCTCCGAAGTTGAGGGTATGGAGGGCCTGAACGGCTGTGCGCCTCGCAAGATTGAGGTCAAGGGACCATATACTTTCTCTATCGGCGATGTTTCTGGCCTAGGAGAGTACAAGAGGGGAGGACAGTTCATTCAGGTCAAGATGCCGAAGATCATCAACTTTGAGCCTTTCAGTAAGCAGCTCAAGAAGCCTGAGCTTCTCATCTCCGACTTCGCCAAGTTCGACCGACCGCAACAGCTGCACGTCGGTATCCAGGCCATCCACAAATTCGCGAGCCTCCACAAGGGTGAGTTCCCACGTCCTCATCACGAAGCCGATGCGGATGAGCTTTTCAAGATCGCACAAGAGATCGCAGGTCAAGGGGAGGAGAAGGTTGAGCTGGACGAGAAACTCATCAAGGAACTCAGTTACCAAGCGCGCGGTGACCTTAGCCCCGTTGCTGCGTTCTTCGGTGGCATGGCCGCTCAGGAAGTTCTGAAGTCCGTGTCTGGAAAATTCCACCCCATTGTTCAGTTCCTCTACTTCGATTCGTTGGAGTCACTTCCCACCTCCACAAACCGTTCGGAAGAGCAGTGCGCTCCGATTGGCTCGCGCTACGATGGTCAGATCGCTGTTCTGGGTCAGGAATACCAGAAGAAGCTCAGCAACGTCAAGCAGTTCCTCGTTGGTGCAGGTGCCATCGGCTGTGAGATGCTCAAGAACTGGGCTATGATGGGTCTCGGTACTGGCCCTGAGGGCAAGATTACCGTAACCGACAATGACCAGATCGAAAAGAGCAACTTGAACCGACAATTCTTGTTCCGACCAGCAGATGTTGGAAAGCTAAAGAGTGACGCTGCAGCAAAGGCTGTTCAGGTCATGAACCCTGACCTCAGTGGAAAGATTGTGACACTTCAAGACAAGGTCGGCCCGGAGACCGAGCATATCTTCAACGAGGAGTTCTGGAATTCTCTGGACGGTGTAACAAACGCGCTGGACAACGTAGAGGCGCGCACGTACGTTGACCGACGGTGTGTGTTCTTCCGCAAGCCTCTGCTTGACAGTGGTACTCTCGGCACCAAGGGCAACACCCAGGTTGTTCTGCCATTTATTACAGAGTCTTACTCTTCATCGCAAGATCCTCCCGAGAAGTCCTTCCCTATGTGCACACTCAGGAGTTTCCCCAACCGGATTGAGCACACTATCGCTTGGGCGCGAGAGTCATTTGATTCGCTATTCGTTAAGGGTCCGGAGATCGTTAACCTGTACTTGACGCAACCCGACTACCTTGGTGCATCGCTGAAGCAGTCTGGTAACGAGAAGCAGACTTTGGAGACTTTGCGGGATTTCCTGGTCACTGAGAAGCCGCTGTCTTTTGATGACTGCATAATTTGGGCCCGTCATCAATTCGAGAAGAACTACAACCACGCGATAGCGCAGTTGTTGTACAACTTCCCCAAGGACTCAAAGACCGGCTCCGGTCAGCCATTCTGGTCAGGACCCAAGCGCGCACCAGACCCATCGAAGTTTGACTCTTCAAACCCAACACACTTTACCTATGTGGAAGCTGCCGCCACCTTACATGCGTTCAACTACGGTATCAAGCCGAATGCATCGAAGGAGCACTACGTTGAAGTTCTCAATGACATGATCGTCCCTGACTTCCAGCCCGATCCTACTGTGAAGATCCAGGCCGACGAGAAGGAGCCAGACCCGAATGCTAATCAGGCTGGTAGTGATGATAACGAGTCGCTTGATAGCATTATCAAGCAACTTCCAGCACCAAAGTCTCTCGCCGGATTCAAGCTTGAGCCTGTTGAGTTCGAAAAGGATGATGACTCCAACCACCACATTGACTTCATCACTGCTGCCAGTAACCTCCGTGCTGAGAACTACAAGATTGAGCAAGCGGACCGTCATAAGACCAAGTTCATTGCTGGGAAGATTATTCCGGCCATTGCTACCACTACCGCCTTGGTGACTGGTCTCGTCAACCTTGAATTGTACAAGATCATTGACGGCAAGACGGACATCGAGCAATACAAGAACGGCTTCATCAACTTGGCGCTGCCATTCTTCGGTTTCAGTGAGCCGATTGCAAGCCCGAAGGGTACATACCAAGGGCACGACGGCGAGGTAACGATCGACAAGCTATGGGATCGTTTTGAGGTGGATGATATCCCCCTCAAGGACTTTGTGGACCACTTTGAGAAGAAGGGTCTATCGATCCAGATGATCAGCTCTGGTGTTAGTTTGCTCTACGCATCATTCTACCCTCCAGCCAAATTGAAGGATAGGATGCCTCTCACGTAAGTCTCTCCAACTCCCCTCTTGTACGCAGACACTAACAAGAAACAGTATGAGCAAGCTTGTCGAGCACGTCAGCAAGAAGCCAGTACCCGAGCACCAGAAGAACGTCATCTTTGAGATTACCGCCGAGGACCAGAAGGAGGAGGATGTTGAGATCCCGTATGTGATGGTCAAGTTGAAGTAGATGTCTCATGACTTGGGTAGTGGATAGGTTCCCAGCAAACGGGGATGAATATGACGTGAATTAGACGAGCATAGCTTGCATGAATAGACAATGACTTCAAACGTCAAACGCGCCCAAGCATTCAGCTAGTGATGATATCGTTTTGTTCTAAACAGTTGGCTCCCGAACAGAAACAATGAACAACTGAAAGCAGTGGGTCGAGTGTCATGGGAGATCTGCTCGTGCCAGTGAAGATCAGGCTGGCCGGTGGACCCGCACGGGATGCACGCTTTTGGTTGTAGGTGCCGAAAGTCGGACGAGACCCGTGGGGCAAAACGCCAAGCATTACAGCCCTATCACCAATGTTGATTATCAAGCCTCTAGGACTTTCCCTCAGTATGCAATAATGTAGTCTTCACACCCATCCCAATCACATTCACACACATCATGGCGCCCTCCCTAGAAGAGCCAGTACAGGTCGATTTCGAAGCGCCACTCAAGGCTGCGCCGAAACTCGTTGCGCCTGAGCCAGGTATGTTTGCCCCGCCTCTTTTCGCAACTTGGCGAAAGTACAATACTAACATAGTTACGATAGAACACTGTCCTGGTCCCGAATCCCTCACAGCCGGTCAAGCAGATTCATGCGCAGGATGTCCCAACCAGTCAATATGCGCCTCCGCACCCAAGGGCCCCGATCCCGATATACCCATCATAACCGCACGACTCTCCTCGGTGAAGCACAAGATCCTGGTCCTCTCCGGTAAAGGCGGCGTCGGAAAGTCGACCTTCAGCACAATGCTATCACATGGCTTCGCATCGAATCCGTCATCGACGGTCGGGCTCATGGACACAGACATCTGCGGACCCAGCATACCAAAGATGATGGGTGTGGAAGAAGAGACAATACACGTCAGCGGAGAAGGATGGGAGCCGGTATGGGTCAGCGAGAACCTCGGAGTCATGAGCGTACAGTTCATGCTACCAAACCGCGACGATGCAGTAATATGGCGAGGCGCAAAGAAGAACGGTCTGATTAAGAAATTCCTCATGGACGTAACTTGGGGGGAACTGGACTTTCTGATCGTCGACACACCACCGGGCACATCCGACGAACATCTCTCTGTAAACTCGTTCCTCAAAGCCAGCGGCGTCGATGGCGCGGTCCTCGTTTCCACACCCCAAGAAGTCTCGCTCCTCGATGTTAGGAAGGAGATTGATTTCTGCCGGAAAGCCGGCATACCTATACTGGGCATCGTGGAGAATATGAGCGGGTTTGTCTGCCCGGGTTGCAAACATGAGTCTCAGATATTCAGAGCGAGTACGGGTGGTGCAGCAAGGCTGGCTAAGGATCAAAATATACCCTTCTTGGGCAAGGTACCACTGGACCCGAGGATAGGCATGGCATGCGATTTTGGAGAAAGTTTCTTGACGGCGTACCCAGACAGCCCGGCATGTGCTGCTATCAAAGAGGTTGTCAGGAGAGTTGGGGAGGAGATTGGGCTGAGTAGGGAAGAGGTGTTGCCTGTGGATGAAGAGGAAGTCTGATATTGTCAAACACTAATGAGGTTCGTTTATGAATAGGGACTGTTGATATTGCAAATTGAGCAGCATAAATGGCGTTATACATCAGCATATACTCGTGGACGAATCCGCTTGTCGCCAATAGCACACACAATCACATGATACAGAGTCCATCAGTCGGCCCGTGGCAGAAACGTAAAAACTTACGAAGACGGTTGACGCAAGCATCGCAGATCACCACAATGGACTCACTGGAACATGACATACAAAAGAACACAAGAGATAGAGTGATACGAATTAGGGGTATCTTCTCGTTTGGTGTTTTCATGAGGCGATGCCAATGCAGACTTGCGGTACTGTAATGCTACCTGATGGAAACCACACTCGTGAACAAGCATAGCCACTTGACCCCTCTTGTCACCGTCATCCACTGCCACAATGGCGCCGCCCCGTTGGATCTTCGTGTGGCAGATTATCGTGTGGAAATTAGAGTGGACTGGCAGCCACACCACAGCCATTGATCATCGTCATATGTAATGCTTGGCAAGGATAGCGGGTGCTTGGCGCATGTATCGAAAGCTTGGTTGGGTAGCTTGTGGCGCGGGAGGGAGATAATGAGCTCATAGACTTTGCGAGGATGAATGCAAGAGACCGAAAATAGGGTTCTTGAGGAACCTGACATATGAGGTGGGTAGGATTGGAGACGGCGTGTCAGACCATGCAGAAGATCGCGATAGGCCCCGTGTGTGAGGGATGGACTGCAGCGCGGAAGCGTCGAGGATGTCATGGCCCACCCGGCTAGCGGCAACTATCCCTGCCGTCTCTTGTGCCATCAATCACAGGCACAACAACTTTCAAGACTTTGAGGCTAGAGGCGCTTTCATTTTGGCCCCAGCCTTTCCTGAAATTCTTACTCTCCCCCGCCTGATATCGTTTCCATACTACCCGCGCTCTCAATAGGCGTGCAATTGCTTCGATTGCGACAGAAACGCGACTTATACTAGCGGCGCGCATCGTATCTGCGCCTGAGCTCAACTCTTGGTCCCTGAGCGCATCGCCATTGTAGGTTGCCGCGTGGTCTAGTTGACTCAATAGGCTGACCAGAGTGTAGACTTGTAGACATATTCGACGCGTCTGCTTTTATACCTGCGCTTTTCTCTCGCTGCCCAACATCACTCGCGATTGGCTACTACCATGACCGCCGAATACCAACAACATGAGGACCCCAGTGGCGTGATAGGCATTGGGGCCGGGCCTCAGGTCATCAGCACCTCGGGCGTGGTGGACGTCATCATGGGACCGCTCCTCAACTACAGACGCACCAGCAACCAGCAGGCCGGGCAGCCCGTCTGGCATGGCAGTGTTCTGATTGTTACTACGCCTGGCCAACAGAACCCGAACGACGCACAGCCGAACCCCCAGCTTGTGCTCTCACCAGCTGGTCCCGTCGACAGGAACATTGGCGACGTGAGGTTCAGCGTAGATGCGCGCACCTTTCACGGCGAGAAGCTGTATGAAGACAGCAAGAGGGCCTTTTGGCGCTTCCGTATCGATGCGCCCATGCAGCCATTCGAGTCGAGATGGCGTTACGATATCCAGAACCTCAAGTACACCGACACCCAGAAGGAGGAGAAGCCGCAGAACTTCGTTGTACCTTCGATTACACAGTCGATGCGCATCATGTTCCACTCCTGCAATGGCTTCAGTGTAGGCACTGATATGGATGTCTGGTGTGGACCTGTGCTGTGGAACGACGTCCTACGCATGCACGACCAGCGACCCTTCCACGTCATGATCGGAGGAGGCGACCAGATTTACAACGATGGAGTGCGAGTAGATGGCCCGCTCAAGCCTTGGACCGATATCCACAGCCCCCATAAGCGACGAGAATTCCCCTTCGGTCAGCAAATGCGCGCCGACTGTGATGAATACTACTACAATAACTACGTCAGATGGTACAGCCACGCACCCTTTTCTACCGCCAACAGCCAAATTCCTCAGGTAAACATCTGGGATGACCACGACATCATCGATGGTTTTGGCTCATACACTGACCACTTCATGAACTGCGCCGTCTTCCGCGGTATTGGTGGTGTTGCACACAAGTACTACCTCCTCTTCCAGCATCACCTTGCTCCTCCGAAGAGCACTTTCACGACCGATGCGCCGCAGACGACCGATGTAAGCGGCCAGGGAAAAGGAACAACGCCCGTCGACCCTGCCCAAGTGCAAAACACTTTCGTCATGACCAACGACGAGGGCGACCCATCATACCTCATAGGCTCAAAGCCTGGCCCATATGTTGAGGAACGTAGCCGCAGTATCTTTTGTCAGCTAGGTGCGCGCATTGCCTTTGCTGGTATTGATGCTCGAACAGAGCGTACTAGGCATCAGGTCAACTACCCTGAGACTTACAAGATGCTCTTCGACCGTCTGGATGCTGAGTTCACTGCAAACCCAGAGCTCAAGCACATGATCTTGCTGCTTGGTGTCCCAATCGCTTACCCTCGTCTGATCTGGCTCGAGAACATCTTGCAGTCACCCCTGATCGCACCCATCAAATTCTTGAACAAGCGCTTCGGCTTCGCTGGAGGCTTCTTCAACCAGTTCGACGGCAAAGTCGATTTGCTCGACGACTTGGATGATCACTACACTGCGCGCCAACACAAGGAGGAGCGTCGTAACCTGATGCACAGTCTGCAGGCCTTCTCTAAGAAGTTTTCCGTGCGTGTCACCATTCTCGGTGGAGATGTACATCTAGGAGCCATTGGGCGCTTCTACACCAACCCCAAGACACATCAGATCCCTGCCGAAGCAGACCACCGCTATATGCCCAACATCATTAGCTCTGCCATTACCAACAAGCCTCCACCACAGGCGGTTGCAAACCTGCTCGCCCGCCGAAACAAGATCCACCACCTTGACAAGGAAACTGACGAGACGCTCCTCGAGATCTTCGACCGCGATCCGGCCCTGCCCGACGGCGTCAACGCGACAAACGGTACTTCCACCGCCCAGATCAATGGCGATGGTAAGGACGGAAAGATCGAACCCAAGACTTCCGCCGCCAACCACGCCACAATGCCTTCCCGCAACTACGCCATCATCTGCGAATCCAATATTCCCACTCCCTCAACTCTCGGTGTACCTCCCGGCTCCGCCCCCTCCATACATACCAACAACACCGCCGCTTCCAAGGTCTCTGCTCCTCCCGGCAAGAAGGACAACATGCGTTTGGGCTTCCATATCGGTGAAGAGAAGGCTGGCACTCAACATCCCGCTGCTAACGGTATCGTACCCTCCGGTCTGTGTGGACCGTATGGGTTGGACGTCACACTTAGGGTGGAGATTAGCAACCAAGATCGGGAGGGAAGGACGGATGGGTATGGGTTTAGCATTCCGGCGCTGGATTGCTCAGCTTATGCTGATCGGGATGCGAAGTGGTAGATGCGTGTATCCTGAGGGAGGGAGAGGTTGGATGGTGAACAGAAGGGGTTTGGAGGGGTAGATAAAGAGGCGCCACGGTCGAGATTACTGGTTGATGGTACTTTGCTTTCTTGTTTTGATCTATACCCTCTCGAAAGTCGCTTGGCTTAACGCCATGATGTGTAGTAGTTAATAAGTGTTTAGTCTGTAATGTTACCCCTTAATTGGGTTGGTAAAGCAGAAGTCTCGTTTCTTACGTTCTTGCAAAGCACAATGATGTATATGTATGCAAAAACAGCTCGGTGCCAGCATGTATCATCTCAAAATACATTGGTTACCTACCCGTAAGATAATTGGTAGAACAACTTCCGTCTCCGCGGTTTTGCAGGTTGAAATCCATAAAGTTCGTTCTGTCTCGACAAGGTATTTACTGCCGGCATGCGCAGCCCCACATGGTGTCTTGGGTGTTTAGATGCGTGGGACTTTCGCCCAGAAATCAATTTCATGGCCTGTCAATTGTACTCAGCACTAAACCCTTCTGCAATTAGCGGGATGCCTGATAGATACTACCTAGTAACAATACTGTCTGGCCCCATTCTCTTCGAGGACATCATAGGCCAGATCGTATATCCATCCGCGGAGTGAAGAGAGGACCCTGCATACCGTACGAATGCGGGCTCGAGAATTTCCTTTTCCCGTAAGCATGGTGCGAGGCTGAAGACAACACAACGTAGCCCGCACACGTGGTAAAGAAGGAAGTCCGAAGAGCCGTTTACATCCTTCGTGTCTCAAGATGCGGAATCGAGGGTCCATCGGAATACTAGTCCCGGTACGTGTTTACCCGCCCGCCCGTTGGCGTTCTAGACGAACATTTCCCCTGCTATTCTCTTTCGTCCGACTGGTGCAAGGCGTAAAAATGCTACAGCTCACCCTCTTGCCGTTGTACCCATGTCGAGTGATCCTGTACCCAAGGATTTGGTAAACGGTTTTTCGCCTCAATGAGTCCATTGCCCGCCGCATGCTGCACGCTTGGGCTGAGATCCTATACAAACTGAATATGTATAAATGCGCTTATGGGCCACAAAGAGCATGGCAGTCAGGGACCGTCCTGTCACTCATTACCGTTTAGACTTCCCATCAGTCCAGAATGCTGGCCAGATCCTTCACTGTTTCTTTGGCCTGTGCTGCCCTCGCGTTCGCACAGAGCGCTTCGCTTGCTGTCCCACCTGCTGCAGAGACGCTCGCTGCCAAGATCACGCCTGCAGAGCTTCCTCTTTTCGATGGCGAGGCCATACAACTGACAGACGATGTCGTAGCTGCGCTCCAACAAAACCCTGATCTTGCAGAGTATGCGCCACTGTACGAGTTCGAGGACAGCTCGAACTCTACGCTTTCGGTGCGTGCACGCCGCACTCGTAGAGCTCTTCGTTGCAAGACGATGCCTGGAGATGAATTGTATCCGAGCAAAGCGGCGTGGAGTGTTTTCGACACCTTACTTGGCGGTGCTCTGGAGAAGATTGTTCCTATAGGCTCGTCCTGCTACAAGAAATCCGAGTATGACAACTGTAAGTGTGCTTGTACAGACTGCATGTGAAACATACACTGACTTCGTACACCGACATCTAGACGATGCCGCAAAGTGCGCGAACCTGGTGAAGAACTTCGATCAAGAAGAGATTTAGTTAGTAGCGATACTTGACAGCGAACCGACACAGCCACTAACAGCAGCAGCTATGTTGATAACGGTGCACTGATGAACCCTCTGTGGTATGGAATGACCTGTCCCATTCCCACTTCAGGCGACTCCGCCAACGGAACTTGCACCCAAGGTGGCTACTCGGAGTATGCTGTAAAGATCAGCAACGTTGCGCAGATTCAGTTGGCAGTGAACCTCGCACGCAACCTCAACCTTCGCCTAGTCGTTCGCAACACTGGTCATGGTAAGTGTCTCTATACGAACTGCATGTAATAAATATACTAACTTCGTACGCTTTGATTTAGACTACAACGGTCGCTCGGTAGGGAAAGGTGCACTGAGTATCTGGACGCATGGCCTCAAGGAGATCAAGTATGTCAAAAACTACAAGAGTTCGATGTACAACGGACCGGTCTTCAAAGTCGGAGCGGGCGTCCAAGGTTTCGAGCTCTACCAAGCTGCCGACAAATATGGCGTCTCCGCTATCGCTGGTATCTGCCCTACCGTGGGTGTGTTTGGAGGCTACTCTACAGGCGGCGGGCACAGTCCTCTAATGCAGTTGTTCGGCGTGGGGTCTGATCAAATCGTCGCTCTCGAAGTCGTCCTTGCTAGTGGCCGTTTCATTACTGTTACCCCAGAGGTCAACAGTGATCTTTACTGGGCCATGTTAGGCGGTGGAGGCGGTACCTTCGGCGTGGTCACATCTGCTGTAGTCAAGGTCCACCGCAAGGTCCCGGTCACTCAGTCTTCCTGGACCATCATGACGTCCGAGGCTGTTACAGTCGAAAAGTTCTGGGAGGCATTTAAGTTCTTTTTCGACAACATTCCCGTTTACAACCGAGCGAAAACCTACTCCTATTTCTCCCTCATGAAGCTCGCACCAGGAACTTACATGTGGTCGATGGGCCCATTCTTTGCCACGGACAAGACAGTCGAAGAGTATGAGGCTCTTATCAAGCCTTTCTACGAGAAGTGTGCCTCGCTTGGTATTGAGCTCAGCCCCAATACAACCCATCACGACAGTTTCTACCCAGCCTACCAGGCGACATTTGGCACCTTCAACTATTACATTGGTGGCGCCACAGGTATTGCGGCCAACCGTTTGTTGACATCGGAAAACTGGGAGAACTCTGAGATTCGCAACCAAACAGTAGCCGCTATTCAGCAGATTGTGGAAAATGCTATGATGATAAATATGTACCACCAGCGCCCTATCGACCCGGAACAAAAGGGTATCAATTCAGTCAACCCTGCTTTCCGCAACGAAGAGAGCCAGATGGTCGTCATCAACAATGTCCCCGAAGAATCCGCTGCGGGGTGGCAAGCTACCGTCGAAAAGATCACCACTGAGGTCATGGCTCCTCTACGTGAGATATCACCCGCTGGCGGCGCGTACGGTAATGAGGCCGACATCGCCGAGCCGGATTGGCAACAATCTTTCTGGGGCTCCAACTACCCCAGGCTCCAGCAGATCAAGAAGAAGTATGATCCTGATATGCTCTTCTATGTGCATCATGGTGTTGGCACCGAAGGCTGGGCCATTGATGACAACGGCATTATCGGCGCGGGTGTTCAGTCGACGGACGGTCCATTGTGTCGTGTGTAGTTGTGTTAAAGCGATGCGCTCGGTCGTGTAGATATCTTAATATAAATGCGATATTCTCAATGGCATTTTTCTCGATGAACTTCCAGACAATGACACGCGTCACCGAGGCCGCACGGCGCTTACAGTGTTCATGGACGCGTATGGTAGTGGGCGTCCCGTCTGCCAAGACATTGATGCGACGATATAGAAACGTTGTTTTGAGTCATCGGCAGTTGTAATCTGCCTGGGCAGGCGTCGATGCGATAAAACGGGCGGACTGGTGAGAACGGGAGGACTGATGATGTCGGGCTGTCCCACGATCGACTCTCTGTCACAAGCTCAGAAGCCATACGTGCTCTTCTATAATTTTCCGGTGGTGCTTCACAATGCGATAGGACTGAAGAGCGGAAAAATCGCCGTCGATTCCGCTCTTTTACGCGTCGAAGGATTTGCCGGTGGGAGCTTTTTGGGGGGCTGTGCGACACTTATGCTGCAGACGCGGAGTGCGGCCGCCTCCCCGTCCCTTAGCCCTGTCATCTGCAAGATGTTGTTCTAGAAGATCTGAAAGCGGAGGGAAAGTCGATGCGACATGCATGACCATGTCTCGTCGCACGTCCGCGCCTATGAGGAGTCGAGACGTGCAAGGAGCCGGGTTGTTGCGTCGCAGGTCATGGTGAGGGCCAGATTGTCAGGAAAGTGTATCGAGCGCGAAGCACCAGGGCAGGTACACCCGATTAGTCAACCTTCAACAGTCTGTCACTACTACAGGCAACGGGATGTAAAACAAACAGAGATCTCGTCCTCCGCCATGGCTTCCTTTCTCACGCCTCCGTCTTGTGATCATCAGCTGCTTATTCTACAAATCTGCACTCAAATCTTCGGAAGACTCAGTATCCGACGCGGAATCTTCAACATCGGTCTCCAGCATGTGCCCCTTCAGTAAGCTTGGCAACTATATCGCTCTTTGATATCGCTAATTAAAAAAAAGCTTCGTTGCCTTCTGGTGAGGGTCCAGCTCGCTTCTCCCCCAGCGCTGTCAAGGACTGGCAGCCCAGGCGAAAGTCTGTCTCGAACGCTTGTGAGCGATGTCGACGGAGGAAGATTCGATGCGACGGCGAGACGCCCTGCTCGACGTGTAAACGTTTTGCAATACAATGCGTGAGAACACAGAAACCAAAAGAAGTTGTGGCATCGTGAGTGCTAGCATCAAGACGCGTCAACGCGTAGTCACATGACCCATGTTCTAATGAATCTGAAGCGAACATCGTGAAGCATTAGAAGGACGAATACACCAGCTTGAAGCACAGTTGGCCAGACACGTCAATGCGCCCATGCATGGTATGGAATCCATCGACCAGAACCTTATGGCCGGCACGCCAACATCCTTCGACTGGCAAGCGACGCCTTCGCACCTCAATCTCGACACCACAATACCCGCCACATTCACCGCCGATGACTTGGATATGGGTTCTTTCTCAGCCAGAAGCGGGAGCATGCCTTCCATCGCCATAGACGAATGTGAGCCTTTCCCCAACTTCTCCACGCCGTCTTCACCAGTACCTTCATTATGGTTAGGTACCACGCGTGCCTCGTCACCCGATTCGATGCCACCTGGATCCGCACTACCGCAGTTCGGAACGGCATACCCACCCATGAGCAAACCCATGCCATCGTCGATCGAACCGCACACGGCGCCATCTTGGGAGTTCATGGCTCAAGCAAGCTCCAGTCAGTTACAACCAGGTACTAGCAGTCGAGGTCATTCTCGGAAGACTTCAACCTCTTCCCTGTCTCAGGCTAGTAATGAGCAGGCCATGTCGCCAATTCCTGAAGTCGAGGATGACATCCTCCCTCTGGCTCCAGCACCACGACTACCCCGTCAAGGCATATTCGCTGCTCGTCATACGGAGAGTCCTGGCCCTGGCTCTTCCCGATCAAGTTTCACCGACCGCAGTCGTGCTCTGGCAACCACTCCACTTCCCAGTCGCTTCGAAGCAGAGACCTTGACAACGGAGTTCGTCCAACATCTCGAGTCCCTGGACTATAGAGCTTACTCCATCACCCCCTCACTCTTCTCTCGGTTCTGCGAATCTGTTTACCCCAACGCTCAGCGACCTGCTGTCGAAATCTCTGCCTCCATGCCAATGGCACGCTTCCATGTCTTCCTAGCAATGGCCATTGCGATGAAGGTGAGGATCAAGGATGCGCCAGAAAATACAAACGCGCTCCTTGATACTTGCTACGAGCTTGCCATGCAGCAAGCTTGTTCTTCCACATTTTGGCAAGAGACAGGTGGGATGGAAGCAGCTCAACTGTTGGCACTTTTTGCCTCGCTTCGCAAACCTGCTAGCGAAGAGCCGCGCGGTCTTCAGCACTCCTTCTCTTGGTGAACAGTAGAGTCCCAAGACTTTTTTTTCTTTCGTACTCATGACTGTATGTCTTCTCTTTCCTTTCTGTTTATCCTTGATCTTTCCGAAAAGTCGCGACCATTCCCGTGTCATCTTGTACATATATAGCATACCTTTACGAACGGCAGCCTTCTTGCAAGCGCAATAGATACCATCCTATCCATGCTGAGAACCTTTGTCCTCTTGAATCCCGTATCTTGCTCTTCTTTCGAGTCGCAACAGGAGAATGCTACGGATATCATCTATGCTACTGCAGTATACATGTAAGGTATCAGACGCGCATACTGTCTCATGAGCGGCTAATTGCCCTTGAGCTGATGAGCTATCAGAAGCCAGTCATGAGTCGCAAAGATAATGCAGTGCGAAATTTTGGGACTCGGGGCAATCGCACCAGATGCGAAGTTCCACATCTAGTAGTCTTACATGGCTCAGGTGCTCCTATGTGACTGGAGAAGAAAGAAGAGGCAACACTGGCGAGATACTGCTTTGCCTCCGTGACGGCATTCGGTCTCAGCTTACCCGCTGGCAATGCCGGCTTTAATTCCGAAACATGGGGTGCGGTATACCCGATTTGGCGATTCCCCCTCAAATACCTTACCGGTGGTTCGCAGAGCCATAAGACGAGACCTCCACTGACACAAGGTGCCGCAGAGAGCTTGAATGATGTCGCAGATTGACGGAGCTGAAGTAGCGAAGCACCACAGCAAGAAGGACTGCTGGATAGTGCTAGATTCCAAGGCATACAATGTGACAAACTTCCTGTCCGAGCACCCAGGTGGCGCACCGATTATTCTCAAGAATGCCGGGTCGGTGAGTAGTATTGCAGTATTGGCGCAACTCAATACTGACGTTGATCAGGATGCGACGGAAGAGTTCAAGAAATACCACCCGTTGAGCTATCTGGACGATTATCTGCCCAAAGATGCGTTCCTCGGACCTATCGACCCCAACACATTCGGCCAGCTACGCCAGATCAAGAGCGAAGAATCAACAAAGCCATCCGAAACCGATCCGAATTCCAAGGAAATTCCACACGTAAGCCTCTGTGTCTCGACCACCGACTTTGAAGCAGCGGCCAAAGCAGTCTTACCTCATAAGTCGTACGTTTACGCTTCTGGATCCGCCAACACAGGTGCATCGCTCAAAGGCAACCTCGATGACTGGGGTCGTGTCAATTTCCGACCGCGTGTAATGCGAAACGTAGGCGATGTAGACACGCGTCGCAAGATCTTCGGGCATAGCTCACCGTACCCATTCTACATTTGCCCCATGGGAACGATGGGCGCCATCCATGAAGCTGCTGAGCCAGAAATGATCCGGGGAGCAGTACGGAAGGGGATCCACAAAGTGGTCAGTACTGCGAGCTCCAAGAGCAGCGAGCAGATCATGCAGAGCTATCAAGATGAGCAAAAACGACTTGGTAATGGCAGTCCGACGCAACTATTCTACCAATACTATATGCCCGTCGACCGCAACAAGGCTATCGAGCTCATGCGCATCGTCAAACGCTGCGGGTACAGGGGCCTGTGGATCACAGTCGATACGCCTGTTCTTGGTAAGCGAACGGCGGATCGATATCTTCAGGCTGAGGAGGCACTAGCAGTTGGTCTTGCAGAAGAGAGTACTACAGAGTGGGAGACAGGTGGCGATAACGCTTTCGCACCTGCCATGGGTGGACGGCCGGTCCAAGGCCAATTGAGTCCGCATACCACATGGGAAGATCTAGAATGGATCCGCAAGGAATGGGATGGACCGATTGTGCTGAAGGGAGTGCAATGCGCGGATGACGCGAAGCTAGCGATGGAGCATGGTTGTGATGGAATCTTGCTCAGTAACCATGGGGGCAGGCAATTGCACACCGCACCGAGTGCACTCATGACGTTGTTGGAGATTCGAACGTATTGTCCGGAAGTCCTGGAGAAGCTGGAAGTCTTCCTCGATGGTGGTCTGAGAGATGGGAACGACGTGCTGAAGGCGCTGTGCCTGGGTGCGACAGCTGTGGGCGTAGGAAGACCCTTCCTATATGCGCTTGGAGCTTATGGGTCAAGGGGTGTTGAGAGATGTGTTGACAGTAAGGATCATCGCGGTTTGAGAGTCAAACAAATGTGCTAACATTTGACAGTTCTTGCGGATGAGCTGCAGACGGGCATGCGCTTGTTAGGCATCACATCGCTGGACCAGTGCAGACCTGAGATGGTTAATGCAATGAGACTGCTGAATGAGATGTGGCGACCGGACCAGTTGAGCTTGAAGAGTAAGCTGTAACAATACGACTACCAGTCATTCGCGGATATATGCCCGAGAAAGTTCAAGTATTACATGTCAATGTGATGGAAGTTTGCTACAGGCACACTTTGCGGTACCCCTCCACTTACCCCGGAGATTTGCACTTCCAGAACCAATAGGTAAAGGCTCAGCCCGCACTAGACTGATGCTGCAGCTGTCGCCGATCCCGCCGAAAGCAACGGGCTCAAAATTCTTCTGCCCCTCAACCCCTCACCCCACCATACTTTTACCCACAGGATCTTTACGAGAATATATTGCTTACATCCAAACATTCTTTCATCAAATCTTCCTTAGGTGAGATGGCCGAGTTGGTTATGGCGCCAGGTTAAGGTTATCTTAACACATATTCCTGGTCACGAAAGTGGCGTGGGTTCGAGTCCCACTCTCATCAGCATTCGTCTGCTTCAGCAGATACCCCAGGACATTTTTTTGCGCCTTCATCATGCTTGGATGGCTGTGCCTTTGCGCTTTTGCCATGTCTGCACCTAGTTTTTCATTTTGTTACTGGAATACCATTCAGCGTCCTACCTCTAGCCTGCTTACATCTTAATCTGGAGAAGTTCCGTGTTGGGCTGTTTCAGAGATCGTCGTGTTATTACACATCCTCTTCGATAAGAGAGCAAGTTGGGCAACGGAGACATGTTTAAAGAAAGCGTGTCCCGATATGTAGCATTGTTAAAGAATCTGGAGTGTACTGCTTAGTTGTGGTTTGTGCATTCTCTTAGTTACTTCCTAGCGACAGCAACATGCGCTACACATTTGAACCCCTCTACTTCGATTACATCCGCGTCATTTTTTCCATTCAAAGGCCTCTGAATTTTCACGGCAGCTTTTTTCCCGGCAATGTTCAATTGCTTTTTGAATTCTTCGTTCTCTTCGTCCGTCCACTTTGGACCCATATGCTTCCACATGCCGAACAAATAGCCGCAAGTCTCTTCTAAACTCCTTGAAGCATAATAAACTGTCTTCTCGTGCAACTCAACATCTTTGAATCCTGCACCTTCCAGCGTCTTCTTGAGATGCGAAGCTTCGAACCAATCGTCCGAAACAGGCCAGCGAAACAAGGGCTCTTCTGGCTTGACCGCTTTCTGTGCTTCGTGTACAACAGCCATGTGGCCTACAGACTTCCAGCTAGTAACAATCGCTGTTCCTCCTGGCTTGAGCGTACGATGGATTTGCGCTGCACCCTTTGCCGCGTCGGGGAAGAAAAAGATGCCCATGTTGGTTATGGAGTGCGTAAACGTCTCATCGGGGTATGTCAGGTCGACACCGTCCATGACATCAAAGGACAAAGTCGCCGAAGACTTCGTAGCTGGAAGGGTGTGCCGCGCTAGATCAACCATCGATTTCGCATTGTCGACACAGGTGATCTTGATCGGAGTATCTGGGTATTTGAAAAGAATTTCCTGCGCGACAATACCATTCCCGCATGCGTTGTCTAGAACGACGGAGTCGGAGTCGATTGGGGGCAGTATGTCGACCAGATGCATGGCAGTTTCGCGAGTGCAGCCACCAGTAGAGGCCTCATAGCTTGATGCGAGCGTGTCGAACATTTCGCTGGCGGTTACGCTGGGTTTACTCATGATGGCCGGCTGTTTGCTGTTTTGTTTCGAGCGGTACAGTGTATATGCAGAGAGAAAACAAGGCGAGGTTAGTGAGGTACTTATAGGCGGCCTGAGGCTTACGAGAGACCAACACAGCTGACATGCGTGGTGGCTGACGTGAAGCAAACCAACGCGTGTGATACGCAGGAGGCATCAACAAAACTCATACTTCATCTGAAGAATTTCTTCCTTGTTTGTACGATCGAAGTGGATTGGTAAGTCTCCGGATTTCTTCCTAGCCGATAGTTCGGATACTTTCGCCCTCTAAAGTACCCGAGCTTAGAAATCGATTGTGTATTCTTCATAACAATCGAGAGTCAGTCGTACGTACTTTCAAAAATTCTATTAAAAGTGAACTGGTGTATCCTCTTCTATGCAATTCTCAAGTTATCCAAGCGGTACTTCATGCATTTGGTAGCGGAACTCTCTAGCATCTACATCCCTATCTTGCCGTTTATAACAACGCACACCTCTTCGATGCTAGTTTGATCTAACTTCAGGGAAGAAATGGTTCGCCTGCATGTACGCCTTAGTAGTCGATGGGATTCCAGAAGGTGCACCAAGGCCTTTTTATTTAGAGCTTCGCATCCTTCTTGAACCTGATCAACCCATCTTGGAAGGTTGTCGCAATATGCACTCCACGTTTATAGTCCCACATACGACTGGTATGAAGTGCTCTCCCACCTGTAGCTCTAGTGAGCCAGGCCTCTTGCACAAACCATTTTCGCCCGTCTTTGTCACCATCCTTGTGCTCTTCTAGGTTGCAGAGTGGTAGCGAGCCGTCTTCCCACAAGGTCGGATCGGCGTTTGGGTGGTCAATCCGTGGCTCAGAGGTCATGAGGAGATCTTTGATACCGACATGAAAAACGACACTGTGAGATAGGGATGCCATGCGGGTGTAGTCTCGCGGCCGACCGAGATGGTTTGGGACGATGAAGAGAGAGTTGCGATCCGATGCATACAAATGTGCGCAGGCATGCATGTTGGCCTCTCGTGTCAAGGCAAACTTTTGATCTGAGTCTGAGGGAGGCGGATATGGTGCGGTAGGTAATGGCAGTGAACCGCGGAGGGTGTAAAAGGTCAGTTGCTTTCGATCGAGCGGATGGCGGCTACGGTTGTAATCCGTCATATCAGCCTTACGTATGTGCAATCCAGCTACGGGGTTGAAGTGTTCTGGATGCGCTGGAAGGTCTAAGCGTGGACTCGCGCAGTCAGTATATGTCTCACATATAGTTCGTATGGGGTCACTTACATGTTTCCCGGAAATATTCAGAATCATTGCTTGGAGCCGCTGGATGCTCCATCGGCTCGTCGGCTTTATCTTCCAGTGTATCCTTGTATAGGTCCCTCAAATCCACTTCCTCTTGGACATCGAAGGGTGAGGTCTCTTCCCTTTTGAAAGAGCAGGTGCATACAAACATATACCCATGAGCGGCAACCTGGCTCACGGTCACGTCTCGGATGCAATAGTTGTAGCCATCCCGGATTTTTCGAACGCGGTACGTGTAGTGTTCATTTGGCTTGCCGCCTAAGATGAACCATCCGGTGATGTTCTATCATATTAGAGAGCTGCCGTAATAGTACGACACTGGTAGCTTACATGTATTAAGAACCCTTCTGCGACAGTTTGTGCTGCAGCCCATGCAGCTTGGGCAAACACGTGCCCGCCGTATGTTCCATTCTCGCCGCCAGTTGGTGAGTACGCTTTTACGATCGAGCGGAATGTCCTATCATCGATACGTTCAAGTTCGATTACTTTTTCGAAAGGAAGTACGCGTTTATCGTCGGTGAAATATGGACGAACAACCATGACAACAATGGAAGCTTCCCAGATGGTACAGATTGATTAGTCCGTCTTCTCGAGGGATTTGCTTGAGCTGAGTCGATATTGGTATTTACAGCTGGTGCAGACGCGACGCTAAAAAGTTACCTCGGAACACGCGGGGTTCGGTTGGATGACGGGACAAGACAACCCCCACTAGTGTCACTCAAGCCGTATAGATAGTCATGGCATGATATGATGACCCAGGCTGTGCGATGCCTCTGAGACCGAAGGAGTTGCAATTCTCTACATGCTCAATGTTTACTTCAGTCCGATCTTCCAGACCTCTTCTCCAGGAACCATAGCCTAACAAAGTAAAACACAAGACCACAAAGCCAAATTCCTACGAGAATCGCTGCCTGTATGGGCGCGAATACAGCGCCTCTAACAACGACAAAGCCGCTGATCAGGGCAAAAAGTATAGGGATAAGAATGAGAGGCTTCACGGGTCGGGGTAGATCGGGCTCTCGGAAGCGTAAGATGATGGCTCCAAGCACGGTGAGAAAGAAGAAAGCATATTCAGCCAGCCCGTTGAGAGTTAACAGGATGCGCATGTTTCCGAGCAGAATATATATGCCAGAAAGGATAGTGTTGAGAATCAAAGCATTGCTAGCAGTCGTCAGAGAGTAATTGTCAAAGAATGCTCGGGTATATACGTACATCGGAGACTCTCCATTGTCCATGGCCATATCCGCTGGCTCATCCGAATCGGCAATTTTGCTTACTCTAAGGGTACCGACATATCCGACTGTGCCAAAAACACGCGGGAACCAATTGTTGTTCGCCGCTGCCACAGTCATCCTTCCAGCGACGAAAGAGTTACCAAGGGCGGAGCCCGCAATTACAAGACAGATGAGCGCTGTAGCAAAGTAAGCTACACCCTTGCCAAGGAAATGGGTAACAGCCGTCTGGTGTATGTCAGTACGCAAGATCGTGGCACTTAAGTTTGCAAAACTTACTACAGCAGCAGCATCCGTTGTTGATACAACCCCCCAGGGAAGTAAAATATAGTAGACTGCGTTAGCTGCGACATAACAGAGTATGATTGTAGGTATAGCGGTGTTGATTGACAGTGGAAGCTGACGGCTGGGATTTCGCAACTCAGCTGCAACATAGTTGGCTTTGTCCCAACCAGAGTATGCCCATAGAGCTCCATAAAGAGCAGTTGAATAGAACCCAAGTGACTCCCATGTAGTCACCTTTGTCCAGTCGAACCTTGATCCGTCGGGTAATACCGTGTCTCTTGGCGAGAACCAATTGTTTTGATGCCAATCATGACCTCCGAGGTCCTTGCTCTTTCCGACAAAGACAAAGACCACGACTAGCCCAGATATGATAAGCAAGGAAATGGTAAGCAGTTTTATGGCAACGAAGAAGCTAGATAACCGAGTGCTCGTCTTGGTGCTGATGGAGTTTAGAGTCGTGACACACACTAGAACAAGCAGAGACAGCAATTTATGCGTGATAGGCGGATCTGGTTCATTCACACCCAAGCTGGAGTAGATGGACTCCACAAATACGATGCTGAGAATCGCAAGTGTAGCTGGCATAGTCGCAACGACCCAAGACCAAGCCGCCATGTATCCAAAGACATCTCCATAAATGTAAGTGAGATATGGTTGGATGCCGCCTTCGCCAGGAAACGCCGTACCGAGCTCAGCCATGGTCAGAGCGCCACTCCATGCTAGAATACCGCCAACTAGCCATACAAGTAGCCCAGCGCCAGGTGATGGAACATTCGCATCGATGGGTCCTGGCGATGAAAATACTCCGGATCCGATGACGATGCTTATCAGGAGCGCGAAGCCATCGAGCGCACCCAGGTTGCGGGCAAAAGTACTTCTCGCGGCGGTAGTTTCATCGTATTCCTCATCTGGAGCGTATGACGTTGTCGATTCCTGGCGCAGTAGAGGTGCTGTCTCTGAGGATGCCATTTGTCGCGTTCTTGAAGTGTACAGAGGCTTGATAAGGTAATCGTCGTTGTTTTGCCGAGGTGATTGCGCGCCACACGCGTCAACGCGGTGTAACTTAGAGAGCTACGTGTCTTCTCTGAGCTTCAGAGATGTCGCAAGCATGTATCTTTTGATATTGCTAAGTTAAAGGAACCAATCCTCAATGTGGTGGTAGGAGAGGACAGGAAGGCTGGATTGGCGTGTGTCGCGCGATGCTATCGCGTCAGGATGAGCCCGAGTTACGTCATCCCGATTACCCACCACATGCCGCGACATCAGAATACGAAACTTCATTCACTAATACACTTGCAGACGTATACCCATATATTTTTTTAGAGGGCCCGTTGAGCTGAACTATTTGCAGATTCATTTTTTGTTCAGTACGACGTCATCCTGCAGACCTTGACTTGACATCTTTCTCTGCCAACCACATAGAGCTTGGAACCCTATGGCCAAGTATCCGCTGTCGCCAAGACGCACATGCATCTATTGGAACACATACGGTAGAAGATTAGCACTATGTTGCCCCAGAACCTGGAGAGACCAGATTACAACAAATCGATTGTTGGGATGGACCCTTAATGTCCAATGAGATACATGTCGCCCAATGACAGGCTAGTCGGGCTTAAATCAGGGAGTGACTGTAATCTAGAATTGAGGCATTCCCAAGGCTTCCTACCCGACGAGTCATCCCAATAAAGAAGAACGATACAGCAAAGAAGAAATCATAAGTAGAGACGCGACATTAGACGTTGGAACACTATAGATAAACTTCTTGAAGGTGTAAAGAAGGTCTTGCGCAAGCGGTATATATCCGTATGCAACTCTGGTACTAGGACTATAGGTAAATTTATCATCTCTCATCTATGTAACCATGACGACCGAAGGCATAAATACCAACATCCTCTGACTTGTGGACCACATATGATCTGTCTTTTGGTCGCAGTGCTGGGATGGCCAGAAACCTGTTCGCTAGCGTGCCTTCACATGGGAAACTGCGGGGAGGTTAAGCTTAAATCTTTAGTGCAATGACAGACCAATGACGCTTGGTGGGAATCATTGACCCTTGTAGAGTTAGTGTGCTGTATAAGGCTTAGTGATGCCCATCATCATGGCGACGTCATTTCTTGTGAGCTCACGGTTTGCTCGCAGCTGTTTAAAGGTCTGGGTCCCTGGTCAAACTTCTATTCATCACACATTGCCTTTTTTCAAGATACCCAAATCTTTCTCAACTTTTCACCAATCCCTTCCTCCAATCAATTCACCGAGAAGAACACACATACCAACGCCAACATGTTCTCGAGACAAGCAACCCAGAATGCGCGGTTTGCAGCCCGTTGTGCCCGTCGTCCAGCTTCGCGGGTAGCCAACCCCCAGTTCCGCGCCCAACAACCCCGCTTCCAGTCTACCGAGTCAGCAACATCCGGCAACGCGGGTGCCGGCTCACATGCCGCAATCGGTGCCGCATCTGGTGCCCTTGCGGCCATCACAGTCGGCTACATCTTCTACAGACAATCGGGTGCTCGTGATGTTGTATTAGCTTCCAAGACTGCAAAGGGCTACGTCAACTCAGCTACACAGAAGATCAAGGAGCAAACGCCAGAGCCCAACGAGGCGCTGCAATGGTTGCGAAATGCTGCGCAGAGCTACGCTGCTTTCATCCCCGGTGCCAAAGGCTACGTTGACTCCGCCTTCGATGACCTCGATGCTATCCGTGCAAAGCACGGCAAGGAGGTTGACCAGATCGTCACCGAGGCATACGACGAGATGCGCCAGGTTCTCGGCAACGGTGATATGAGCCTCGTCACCGCACACAAGACTTGGGACGTTATTACCAAGCACATGAGCCGCATCGCAGATCTTGCTGGCGACGCATCACAACAGATCATGGACAACCACCCTCAGCTCAAGGAAAAGGTTGGCGGTAACATTGATAAACTTAAGGAGTACGGCGACAAGTATGGTCCCGAGGCCAAGAAGGAAGTCGACAGGACATGGAAGCAGATCAGTGACGTCGTCAAGACTGGCGTAAGTGCGTCGAACATTGAGAAGATCAGGAGCATCGTGCAAGAAAAGGTAGAGAAGCTGAAGAAGATGGGCGATGAGGCTTGGGACAAGGGTATGGAGCAGGCAAAGCCTTACCTTGACAAGAACCCTCAGGTCAAGAAGATTGTCGAAGAGAACGCGGATGCACTCAAGGGCGGAAATGTCCAAGAGCTGTACGAGCGCGTCAAGTCTGCCGTCGAGAAGGGTGATACTGGCGACCTTGAGTCATACGTTAAGAGCGCCGCCAACAAGGCCAAGGAGTCTGGTTTCGGTGATATCGAGCAGTACTTCAAGCAGATCCCTGGCGGCGACCAGATCATGCCCAAGCTAAGCCAGCTTCAGGACGTTGCCCAGAAGCACGGCGACGAAGCACAGAAGCTTTTCAAGGACACCATCTCGGAGATCTCCAGCCTCCTCCAGAAGAAGGGTGAAGAAGCATCCAAGTTGGCCGACAAGGCAAAGGAGGACTCTAAGAAATAGGACACGACAGAAATGTTGTCCTAGCATGATGAGGAGTGTAACGACTACTTTACTTGTACGATTATATGCATCATCGGCGTTGACCAAGTCCAGCGAAATTATCTTAGCATCTGTAAACAATCTTGAAAGCAACTTCAATCTGACTACTATTTGCTGTCGCCTTCTCTAGCCTCTCTGTGATGTCCCACATTGGTTCGTCGCACAGTCGGCTAGAGATGATTGCATCAAGGTATTGTGCGGGGGATGCATGTCCATGACTGCCTGCATGCAGGAACTGCTCACTGTGCACACCGCACACCGTGTTGACGTCTTCTGGAATCCTCTATGCGGGGTGAACTGTCGGTGTAATATGTACATGTACGTCTTATAGGCTGCACACAGGAGTTGCCGCCAAAGTAACCCCGCGATCGGCTAAGGAGGTGAGTGGGTCTGTGGTGAAAGAAAGTGGTGAGAGAAGGCGATGGCGGCGTTCGTGCGCCCAATGGACCGGACACGCTCCACTGAGGCAGCCAATGACGTAAATGCGCCTCCCCTCCCCCCGGCTGCGCCGCCCTTCTCTGACACCTGGCAAGCGCTGCTACTCTATTTACTTGTCCCTCAACAAATTTCCAGCCCTCTACATCTTCTCACTCCAATTCCCCACTTGTCTCTACCAAACTCTTCCTTTACACGTCGATCGACACTACTCCTACCGCCCACCTAACTCAGACACACTACACAACCACAACCATGGGCAAGGTAAGCATCGGCGTGCTCACATGTACCCCGCTGGTACCCCGCTAACACGTGCATAGGCGAAGTACATCATGCTCGACTGCGACAACACGCTCGTCCAGTCTGAGCGTTTTGCGTTCGAGGCCTGCGCCGACCTTACCAACCAGGTCATGGAGAGGCACAACATCGATGCCCGCTACACAGCCGAGTCATTGCTCGAGGACTTCGTCGGCCACAACTTCCGTGGCATGCTCAAGGGCCTGCAGGAGAAGCACAAGTTCAAGATGCCCGACGACGAGATGGAGGACTTTGTCGCACAAGAACTCGGCGCCGTCACTCTCAAGCTCAGCCAGAAGGCTGTCGAGTGCCCTGGCGTGACCGAGCAGCTCACCAAGCTCAAGGAGGAGGGCTATCCTATGTCTGTTGTCTCTACTTCCGCCAAGAGCCGCGTCGTCGCTTCCATCGAGAAGGCCGGCATCGCCCACTTCTTCCCTCCTGAGCACGTCTACTCTGCTGCCACCTCACTCAACCCTCCCTCTTCCAAGCCCGACCCCAAGATCTACCTATACGCTGCCGAGCAACTAGGCGTCAAGCCTTCCGAGGCCATCACCGTCGAGGACAGCAAGAGCGGTGCCACTGCTGCCATGCGCGCCGGTATCCCCTGCATCGGCTACGTTGGCATCTACGGCATTGAGGAGGGCAAGGACAAGATGGACCAGATGGCTAAGCTTCTCACCGAGGAAACCAAGTGCGCTGCCATCATGTACGATTGGAAGGACTTCCCAGAGTGCTTGAAGAAGGTCGAGGCCAAGTTGTAAGTCCTTACTTCGACACTTCTGTGGGCGCTGAGGAAGATGAACATTTGATGAACTCGACCCGCCATTGCGGGGGAGCTTACGATTACATTCACGACATCAATGATTAAATAGATTCAGTAATGAACAATTTAGCGGACATGGTCCCATTCACATTTACATTCACATCCATATCCACGACAACCATCTTTACTGTTCCTTTGTTCTACCGTGTTTACTATTTTGTTTGGTGACGCAATGGTGGGACCCGCGCCGTTCGTGGGCAGGCACAGCGTTCCAGGCTCGGGCGACGGCCCAACGCTGCCCCGCTCCCCACTTGGTACCTGCAAACTTCAACGCGAAACATCCCGAACATCGAACTTTTACCTTTGCCATCCCAGATCCCTAGTGCCAGCTTTTCGTCGCGTCAATTTCTGCTGCTCACGCGTCCTGCAATGAGCAGTCTGAGCCGCCGTGCCCATGTCGACGGTCCGATCCATTAATGTGCTGATCCTCACTCCGACCTCACCCCTAGCTGGCTCCTGATTCTCGGACTGAAGAGCCTATAGCTTCGGCTAGTGAAGGGACGTCTGCTTTGCCAAATCAACGCTCACGTGATTACAGAGAAATCAGCTGATCAATACCGTGCCAAGCGAATGTGCCTCGGTAAGAACAGGGCCTCAATATTACGCAAAGTCGTGCTCTACCACACTCTTTGCGCAAGACCCAACAACCCCTTGTCCGCCGGGTCTTTCCACAACGCAGAATCAACACTAGCCACTGAACAGCTGGATATGACATGCGCGAATCCTAGCACAGAGTTTAACGACAGCACCTCATCCTGTCGTTATCTTCGCTCAACAGATCTGCACCTTGGCATTCTGGCGGCCAAGACATGACCAAGACATGCTTGATAAAGCCTCCTTCCTATCCTGTCGACAGCTCCTT